AAATGAGGGACATAAACACCGTCTCGGATGACTGATTCCCATATTGGTGACAGGTAGAGACCTCCGTTGCGATTAAGATTGTTATAGTGTATGGGCCAGTGAGCGGCTACCTGCATGTATTTGACCAGACCTGGGTTTTTGTACATTGAGGCCCATATACCTACTATACATGATGTGGGGACCCACCAAGCCCAAAGCGATGGACCCAGGTACTGCGCAGGTGACACAGGTATTGATTTTTGGCGAATTTTAAATATATTTGATCACCCCTGCCGTTTTGAAATCTTAAAGTATGTTATTATTATTATCGAAAAATAATAATGGCAGACCATTAGCATGCGGTTCACATTATGGCAGACAGTTTTGAAAATGCTCAAAAAATTAAAATTTTAAAAGTATTTGACCAGATCTGCCATTGTGATATATTATTCATTATAGTATTAAAAACTTATATTAATAACGGCAGACGTTTTTATTGAGTACACCCTTCAGTAGATAACAAAATCTTTACTACTACCCGGACAGATGTATGCATACAATGATGTAGCTATCTTTTTTAATTTAGGGTTTATACCTGAGATGGTTCTGTTATAATCCCAACCTAACAGTTTTTGTCAGATATTTTCAGTATGTTTGTGAATCTCTATACAGATGCCTAGTGTTTAGTGAATTTAATAAAATATACAGTGTTGCTTTATGTTATTTTTCTTTAATGAAACAATTATTAGTTAAATATCTCTGAGATTATGTCGAGTGGAAAAGAACTAGTGAAGTGTGTTTTTTGTGCAACAGCAAAGACTGAGAAATTATTGACATTTTCAAAAGAAAGAGAGATGGAAAAATGTAGACAATTTTTGAGGATAAGAAAACATTATAAATTAAAATACAATGAAATAATTCTACAGGACGAAATTTTTGACTCTGTATATCACAGTTGTTGCAAGTTGTTACAAAGCCTTTACGTTTTAAAAAAAAATGCAAAATCTCAACAAAGAAGCTGTATTACAACCGACCACGTCGTCGTCTGCAACTGAGCAACCATCAACATTGGCTGATAGCTCAATAACTAATGATTCAATAGTACTTGATAATCTTGCAAAAGACGTAAACGTTTCTGATACATATGAAGTCTTAAAAAAAGATATTGGCGCTGAATTAGATCAGTCGTTGGCGGAAGGACCCTCTGTAGTACCATGAGTAGTTACAAAGCTTCGGATGCGAATGAAAATTTTAGTAAAAAAATACAAAATTTTGATGCAACCCCAATACCACCAGAGTGAACTTTACCAACAACTTCTGAGAGCCCATTACATTTCAACTATTTGGAAAAACGCTTACAAAAAGCAACCTTCAACCTTGGACTCATCGGAGTATGGTTGGATTGAGGAGGACAATACATTTGTCTTTAAATGGTTCGATGGAGATTATCTTCCATCTTTTGTTAGCGACTTAATTACCAATGTTGTAAGTCGATAAAAATTAATTCTTTATCAAATATATTCGGATCAATTTACTAATTATTTATATTTTACAATTTACGTTTTATTTTTACAGAGTCCGATTCAATGGATGATGAAGAAGAGTTAATCTATGACAAACATGACTCCGACACCATTCAATTTTTCTCTTAAATAAATAAAAAAAATAGAAATACAGATTTGAATTGTTTTTTGTTACTTGCATTATACCCCAAGATTTCAGATTATTTCCTAATATATCTACTTCATTTATCATCAATCTTATAAATTTTAGTATATAAAGTACAAAAAAAGTATTAATTTTATTAATATAGTGATAAAATAAGAGAGTAAGTGAGTTAAATTTATGTAAAACAGCGATCGTAATACATATACATCTGACCGGGTAATAGTAAAGATTTTGTTATCCACTGAGGAGTGTACTCAATTAACACGTCTGCCGTTATTAATATAAGCTTTTAAGACTATAACGAATAATATATCTCAATGGCAGATCAGGTCAAATACGTTCAAAATTTTATTTTTTTAGGCATGTCCAAAACTGTCTGCCATAATGTTAACCGCATACTAATGGTCTGTCATTATTATTTTTCGATAATAATAATATATTCTAAGATTTCAAAACGGCAGCCGTGGTCAAATATATTTAAAATTCGCCAAAAATCAATACCTGTCTCACCTGCGCAGTACCTGGGTTCACCGCTTTGGGCTAGTGGGTCCCCACCTCATGTATAGTAGGTATAGGGACCTCAATGTACAAAAACCCAGGTCTGGTCAAATACATGCAGGTAGCCGCCCACTGGCTCTTAGACTATTAGGTTCGTAATAGATTTCTATAGATACTCGTATTTTTGGTTGGTAGAAGAATTGATTACATGTAAGAATTTTAGTTTTATCGAATAAAATTTTATGTCCGATTTCGTGAGTTTATTTGTCTTAGTTTTAAGGCTCCTTCATGTTCTTTGAGCCTAGTTGATATTTTTCGTCCAGTCTCTCTAATATATTCTTTGCCGCATACGCATGGAATTGGAATGGAATTTTGTCTTTAACGGATCGAAGATGAGTGGTAAATCTGGTTTCGAAGTTATATTTCTTTAGAACTTTTGATATGTGGTCAGTGGTATTTTGAATATAAGTGTTCAGGCGAAAGACTAAATATTAATTCCAAGCTTTGACGCAATCCGGCAACACCGCACTAGGACAAGGATGAAAAAGACAGGTCCCGACGGGATTCACGCGTGGAACGGAGTGGGTCGAGACGCTCCGCGAATGCCTCCTAATTTCAATTAATTTTGATATGCAATACAAATGTTTGTTTCTTTCTGTTTGGCTTGCAGAGTACAGTATATTTATTAAAGTAGTGAAAAACAAAGTTAAGTGGTTATTACTCCGCTGAACCTATCGGGAATCCAAAAGATTCCTAAGTGGTCCTTCGAACTCTGAAAACAGCGTTAGCCCGACCAATAAGGAAGGACAACAGGGACAAGCGTGGGATTGCTTTCGGTTTCATTGCTATTGGAAGGTTGTGGTGAAGTGTATTTTGTGATGGAATTCTTAATATCTTTAACGTGGAAATTATGCTAATGTAGTTCCTAAGAGTAATGCTATATTGTGTGTTTTCAACTCGATTATCGCCTTTCTCGGTTCTGGGAAACGATAAATGATATAGGGTGGTTCAAATTAGGAAAAAGTGACGTTTCCATGAGCTCGATGATGACATTCCTTTAAAATATTCAAGAATAAGAGAATAATTATTATATAATTATTTTTGTTATTATTATTATTTATTAATTTTATTATTGTTATCTCTCCTACTTACGGAAATATGGTAGAGTCACTTGAATTTCCGGTTTTCGATTGTTGTTCTAGTGCACTTTAAATTTAAAAAAAAATCTACAAAGTTCTGTATAATACCCATTTTTAGGAATTGTTACCAGAATCCTAAATGATCCAAAGTACCAAAGTCAAAAGCAGTTAGATATGTTCAGATAATAGTGAAATATTTTGGGACATAAATGCAGAGATTAAACAAAATATAGCTCTGTGTGCGTAAGGACAGACGCGACACTGGGAAAATAAAGTGTTCAAAGCACCATAGGTGAAATCTCACTTCAACTTAAAAACAATTAGAGACAGCTCTGAAGCTTTGTAATTGTAAAATAGAATGACAAAACAACCGGAAAATGGTTAGGATATTAAACAAAGGAAAACGATGGCTCGTCTTCTTATGTAACACAGTTTTAATAATAATAATAAATAAATAATTAACTAACAATAATATTTTAAAATGTTCCTAGATTTTTGTAACATCTTATCTGACAAATTAATGGAGGCCTAGCTATCTCTTCAGAATATTTATAACATATTTTTCCTTTATTATTTTCACTGCAAAGTGCATCTAAGTATAAAAACTTTAAATTATCAAGAAATGGCACTCCGCCATTCAGTTTTACTTAAGGGTAATGACAAGCCGTATGTCAATACGCTATGGCACTCGAATCTAAGCTATCTAATAGCTGTATATCTTATACAAGCATTTATCCTCAGATTTATTGTTAGTAATAAAAAGATGGACGACTAAAAGAATTAAAATATGGTTAATCATATTACCAATGAACCAACTTTAAATAAGAACTTATCCTAGCGCCAGAGAAAATAATATTTAAGTATGTGTAAATCTGTATATGAACGTTTTATTTAAATATAGAGGAACAGGAAAACTTCAGCTCTTGAAAATGTGCGATACTCTGTCACATTTGCGTAATGCGTAAATTAGCCTAGAGCAATATTTTGGACTTTTCGCACCTGTCCTTTTAATCTAATGCAAACTCATAAAAACAGGCAGATCAATTCAGATATGCAGAACTAGTGACTGAAATAGTGATTTTCAATTTCCGGTATGTGCCTTGACAATATGTTTTTTGTAAGATTTCACTGAGAATTTCTGAATAAGTATTGTTAATGACAGTCATGTTTTCTTTTGTATCAAATACAAGCGTTATGCAATTATGATTTATGATTTAGAGTTAAATTGTCCAAATTTTACATTTCAGTAATTTAGTTTTGGTAACAATGAACGAATGTAATGTAGTCTATACTTTTCCAACGCATAACATGTGTAACTAAAAATAAAACTGGCTCTTGTGTAGTTTAAAATAATGTGTTACTTTACTATCGTCCAATGATATATAAAAGTACATAACATAGTAAGAGCAGTTAAAGTTGCTTAAGACGGTCGAAAAACAAACTAAAATTTACTAGGTTTTATTCTCATTAAAAAATATGTTAAGTTGCTTCCAGATTACTTTTTGTCAGTTTTCAAGAGTATTTTGAAAGTCCTAGACATTCTTTTTTTGGTTAAAAACATATTGGTTTACTAATTCACCATGTCATATTGTTCCTCTCTAGATGTTATCTATACCAACATATATCATTTTCCGTTTACCCGAGATGAAATTCTGGAAATGGAATGGAACTAGCAACGCATCGAAATAATAATAGCAATAGGATTTGCATCATTACCTGAATTTTCCCTCAATTTGGGCAGAAAGTTGTTCCAGAAAGCGCATGCCGTTGCCCGGGGGCCCCTTCCTATTCCGTTCTTGTCCGCGTTGAAAATAAAATACTGAGGCTGGTCCTTTGTGTAAAGGGGCCAATTCACATCGTCAGTCACGGGTTTCCTGCAACAAAATCGCACTTTTGGTCTCCGGTAGGGCTGGGCAGGCTTATCGATATTACTAGAGCGGATCGACCGTATAGGAGGTAGCGGTTGGTTTCTAAAATAATTTCTATATCATACCTAACAAAGAACAGTAACAGTAAAAAGTATCACAATAAATTTTTTTCAGGCAATCATGATAAACAGATCCTTTAAAATCATCATAATTTGTTGAATGTTAAAATCTTAAATATTTTGAGGTTGAATTTTTATATTTTATCAGGAAGAAAGTTATAATTCTTGAACTCCAGATAGTATTTCTTCCATTTGGTTAACTTAAATTTATTAGTTTTTTAAGATTACAATTTCTTAAGTGATAGTTATGTATATTTGAAGAGGAAGGTAGATCCACTTTTTGGTATGGCAGTTAGATCTTTATAACCCGCTCCAAGTAATAATCGAATTGCCTTTTTTGCAAAATAAAAACACTCTTTGCAGCTGTACGGTTACCCCATACAGAGATTCCATCTGACAGCTTAGAGCGGAAAGTCCTAAAATAGTACAGTCGAGAAATCTGAGCACTTACATGTACATAAATAGTTATACCGAGTAACTTCACACTATTTGCCTCACAGACAAGATTTCCTTGTTGGAATAATCAAAGTTTCAGGTTTCTCTGTGTTAATAAGTAGTCTATATGCTGCGAACCATTTTCTACCCTTTTGGTTTCTTCGAGATTGCTTCCAATGCCCCAATGTCTTACTAAACAAGACAAAAATTGTGTCATCCGCGAGTATCACTCTTGATATTGAACTCGTATTATGACAAAGGTCGTTTATAAAGACAATGAACAATAATGGAGCCTTAAGGGGAGTGGTTGTCGACCCTATCCCAGAAATATCACTATTTATTTCAACACACAGTGTTACATCTCATTCGAAAAAAACTTTTTCAAGTAGCAGTAGACTCCATTATTATTGATTATTAATATTACTGTTATTAAAACAGCCATAATAATAATAATAACGATAACAATAGATGCACAGCAATGACAGCACCACGGCTGCATAAGAATAGCTCACGCTCTCTGAAAAGCTGGTACTAGTACAAGGCAACCATTAAGAATTTTAAAAAGTTTACCTCACGTTCATGGCAGACCATAAGAGGAAGCAAACTACGTGAAGATCCACAATAATAATAATAATAGACAGCTTTATTGCCTTTACTATTAATAACAGTCACATTGACCGAATTATATTCCGAATAAAATTTGATAGTAGAAAGTCAAACATTTGGCATAGCCCAAAGTGCAGCATTAGGTAAAATGAAGATTGGAATGTGACGACAAGGGCAAGAAAGTTAAATTTTAATTAGGTAGAAACAAAAATAAAATCTTGCTAGTATGTATTTTGCTCAAAAAGCAATTTCTAAACTTATTTTTTTGGGCAAATAGCGCCTTCGAAAAGTCTATTAAGGAAACATTTCATTAATCATTTTTACAATTTTCGAATGCTCTGGATGCTGTGGCACAGTACAGCGGTGTCGCATATTGACTGGTTTTGCAATAGAGTAATAGGGCATGTTTTGTCCGCGCGGAAACGGACTTTAGCCGCAGCTGGCACAGCAAGAAGTCGCAAAAATTACTCAAGGCAGGATCAAAAGATTTTTGATTACTTAACTGACCCTACCTCGCTTTTGGTCTTCCTTCCGGAGGGGCCGGCTCGTGCTGCGTCCTCTGTGCCTCGAGTGGTGAGGAAATTTGTTGATCACCACGCGTATGACCTGATGCGTTCAACGGCACTTTTTGAACCACGCGATGAGAGCGACCGATTTAGCGCTTCACCGTGATTTTTAGTGGAGCATGCGCCTAAGGGCGCTGGCGGGTATAGATGGCCAGTTAAGTTCAAGAATTTAACACCGCGAGGAAAGGAAGAACTTCTTGGTGCTGTACTCGCGGCCAATCGATAAGCTATAGGTTTATATATATAAATTCATAAGAAGTCGAAAGATAATAAAATGAAAACTAAACAGGGCATAATCTAACCAAATATGGTGAAATATGAGCTCTACGTCTAACTCCGTATATCAGTCTAAGACGGCAGTTTTGAACGATATCTTTCTATATTATCTAGACAAGGCAATATAATAGCGAGGCATTAATTTATTGGGAGAGTCAGTGACGACTGCCATAAATTAATTTTAGATGTATGCAGGGGTTTACTTGCTTTTAATGGGCTCTCTAAGTTTAAGAGGAAAATCTAAGGTATATTCTAAACTCAAAACATTAAGATTCAGCAAAATTTAAATATGTTTTTTGATATTTACGTGTTATTAAAATTGATTATTTAGATTGTAATAAAATGGTTCTGTTGAAAACCACAATTTGTTTTAACTTTTTTAATGGATCTGTTCGTTGGATAAAATTGCAATAGGGCGTTTTTGCTAATAAGGATTAAAATGTCATTCGGGTACTAGATGCAATAGAACCTCCGGCATAAGTAACAATCACCTATAAATTGACATCAAAGAAAAGAGTATATAAAGTGTCAGAGAATTAAAAAAATTAGCTAAAATGGCAATTCCACGAGTGGTGTAGAATTCGAGCAGTCACTTGCCACTGTTGTAAGCCTCTGGTTGATTTATTGGGCAAAAATTAGTAGTTTTTTTTTAATAAGCCAACCTGTAAATCAGTTACCTAAGTAAGCGATGCGGAAAAAAAATATTTTCCTCAGGATTAAGCAATTTTTAATGACTCGCCCTATATAAGCAGATAAATATGGTAATCTGCGTACACCATCACCACTTTGCAAAATGCAACTCATTTTGAGAGAAAGAATTAAATCTGAAAACTGAAGGCAATAGGTTCATGTTAATTACGAAATTACAGTAGCATCTGGGGTATTAATCCTGAACAAGGAGCTCCGTATGAAATTTTAATTAATGGTTATGGGACTCTAGGCGAGGAATCAAGGAGAAACTCAGTGGTTGTGTTGACAGGATGTCCTGCTATGCCCCAAGCTTATTGCAGCAAATCCAACTTGGAGGACATAAAGCCAACACTATTAAAATTAACCTCCTAAATCTCTTGTAATAAATGTAAGAATTAGTGAGTATTTTCCTTTACTTGTTTTTGTAGGGTGAGGCCTGCGTATCATACAACTGTTGTCTACGTACTGGAAATGATGATGATAAATTTATTATTTTGCAGTCTGCACTCTAACTACTGAAAACATTTCCAACTTTAAGAAAATTAACAAAAAGAGTATCAGACATAAATAGTGCTCGACTTCGTTTAAAAAATGTTGATGGTTAAAAAAGCACGGGAGGTTGAGAGGCAAAATTATTATTTTTTTATATTCTGCAACTTTTAGTGCAAAACAGGTTTCAAAATACGAAAGGATGAAAAACATTTTACTTGACTAAAATGCATCTGCAAATTTTGAATTAGCTGCGAGCATTATTTACTTGGATTTGTTCGTAACAATTTACAATTTTTGCGAATTTTAATGCAAGGGTATTTAAAATTTCGAAACTTTTTTACAGCATGATGCATTAGCCGATTTGAGAAAGACCAAGCAAAGTTTATTGCAAAAATTTCTTTGTATTGAGGGGTATGTTGATGGGCTTATCCATTTCTGTGGGCAATGATTGTTTAAAAATTCTCGAACTTCCATCCATCTTCCATCTTGCTGAAATCACATTTTTTGGATCTCTCTCTGTTGTCATCAACTTATTGAAGAAATTGAAGTAAACTGTAAAAAGTTGAAATATCTAAGCCCATTAAGTGGTTTGCGAAGAAAATATGGCCCAATAACTTTAAAGTGCTGTGTTCCACACCACACATTGTTTTGCACTTCCGGTATCGAGAATTAATTAATTAACTGCAAATAGCGTCATCGCAAAACATTATTTTAGACAAAAAAATTGGTTTGGAATCTATTATTTCATTTATAACGGCGCAGAAGTTTACCCTTTGTTCTAGATGTTTTTGGTGTAGCTCCATACGGAAGGGATGATGTTTGTGATGTCTAGTGGTACAATTAACGGTAATGTATCACATAACCTACCTACTTTACAGCTACTGACCTTGGAATTATCTTGAACGGCAAGTAGAATTTCCAATTCCTGTTTCCCATCCCTGATTTCATATGCAATACTACCACTAACACTGAAGAGGTTGTCTACTGGGTATACGTCTATTAGGGTACTTCGCCTTGGAAAATTTTGGTTAGTCCATAAAGTATGTTTATCCGCCTCACCAATTATATAAATCATTTCAATTTGCTTTAAGAAAAACCACCTTGAGTTCTTTTTAATTTACTGACACCACAATTTATTTTTTCTATTCCCGTCTGTGAAATACCTAATTATCCATCGATCTAGCATGCCGGAAGCGTCGCGTTCGCTAAACTTTTTAACTCACTCGTTTATTAAAAACTCGCAACACTGCGCTCCGCTCGTGTCGAATAAACTCGTGAGTCAAATGCCGTCTACCGCACTTGTTGCATAATATACTATTATTCTATCGTTGACTCACACTGTAAAAGAGTTGTGAAAAGATTGCTGTAATTTTGCAACCCTTTTGAATGTTGCACAAGTCAAAAATTTATAATAAAATGTAATTGGTAGCAACCACTGTTCTCTATCCAGGTACTCTTCCAACCATGAACATCATTACCTGATCCACGGTACATAACGATGTACGAAGCATCGCGTAAAGTGAGTGTGAGTGATATTGATTGTGTCTTTTAATGTGATAGACACCCGAACTAGAAAAATGAAAATTCAATTTTCGATTTTTGTCAAAGGTGCAGGTAGAACTTATTAGAAAAGAGAGATAGTGTTGGAGAGATGTCTATCTAATGTCTATAAAAAAATTATTGTCAAAATGCAGATTGCCGTTAACTTTTTGTCAGCCTGCGTGTGATGTCCAGTCATTAATCCTGCAAAACTACTAAACCTTTTGTTTAGTAAAATCGCTTTGGAAGAACAGCCCTACCTTGATGACCAGTGGAACGCGCG